CTTCCAATCCCTTGTAAAGGTTGTACTTACCTCAATATTGGTTGGTTATCGTATGCCGACAACCACGGGATGAAAACGAAACGAAGTCGATTTTCCCGCTCAACCTGGAGGACAACTGTACAATTCAATAACTATACGGCCTGGTTCAGACAATGAGTGTAATTATATATATATATCAAATATTTAACTGTTGAAACATTATTAACCTGTAGACAATCTACGATTTGATATTATATCATACTTGATCGTCCCTGTAAAAATGGCGTGCATTTTCATGTAAATTTGTGTTTATATGAAAATAAAATTATTATTAATATTATATTCACTGGTTCCTTAGGTTCTACCTTAGAATGCAAAATGTTGGCGAATATACCCATCGCCTGGTTGACACTGTCCTTCACCAGTTTCAGAATATCATCAAACCCTGGCTTGATACCCTCATCCACTATACGCGAGCTTATCTTCACCCACTTCTTTGCAGTCGAGTAGGTAGGCGTCTCGCTATTACCTCTAGGACTGAGCTCGAGTTGAGGTCACTCATGCAATTCATCGAAATCAAGGTATTCTTATAAGTCATCAGATTATCCAAAATCTCAGTAAGTGCCTTGGAGTCATCTTGTAGTTGACTATTGTTACCTTTGACAGCTTCGAATACGTTCCTTACAATCATTGAAGGTCTTCCAAACCTTTGACGTAGTATGCTCATAGCCTCAGCGTATCCCTCATTAGGGGGCATGAACTTACAGCTCTGTATAGCTCTTGAAGCAACTCCAGTGCAGTACCTCATCAAATACATCAACTTCATTTCATCGCTTAATAAAAAACTACTTAACATGATTTCAAACTCTCTTGCAAACTGTAAATAGTCAGCTGGGTTTCCGTCGAAACAACGAGGTTCATACATAGGGAGTTTGATAATCCTACTATCCTTAGACGGCGAAACAGTAACATCAACCATGTCATGCTTAACATCAGACACATCGTTACAAGTAACAGACAAGTCACCATGACTTAATTTCCCGTTTGCATCAAAGACGCTCTGTCCTTCTTTGACCCAGGCATTGTTGAACTTGACCCAATTCCAGAAACGTTTCAGATATTGCTTGTTCAAAAAGACTTGGCCGGCACTATAAATGATGAACGGTGACTATCCGAACTGTCACCAACTGTCAGATATCGACAGAAACTGACACCGTACCGTCAGAAACTGTCAGCCTCATCTCGTAAACCGTTAATGCCCAGCTCTTGCTGCGCTGGGCCTCGCGCCGTCCCTCGAAGCTTCTCAGAAACGCTTAGTACGAACGGACGCAAAAACCGGAACCCAGTTTGGCGACTCGAGAATTATTTATTCTGGCACCAACATATAGCCAATATTACAACTAAGTTCTATGAACAAATATTACAATAATAAATCACAATATTACTTCTGACGGTTTTGTACGGCCGTTTTGAACAGCGATCGATGAGACGATGACTGCCGGATTCATGCCTCCGCGAAAAATTGGGGAAGTTGGGTTTGAGCAAACAACCATGAATTGATCGTTCAGTCTTCAACTACATTGACAAAGACTCTGTTAGACGTGAAACTGATAAGTCACTAGGTAATTAGCACATTGAATCAACCCTTTCGTTGTTCATCTTTCTGTATTTTAAAGTGTCACACTTTCTAACGGTTAATTATAACTCTGCTATTTTATTTTAGTTGCTATTACTATTATTACTACAATTTTATACTTTATGAATGTTCTTCTCCGTATTGCATACAGTATTTTGCTATGTGGCTTCTATAACTATGATTTTATTACTATTATGTAATATGTGTTTTTAATTTTTTTGTCGTTTTTGAGTAAATTAGATGCAATATTGTACTGAATGCTGAAAATTCCTTTCTGTATCATTAGTACTGTTTTTGGAATAAAGAAAAATTGTTATTATTATGTCTGAGGTTCAAACAAGTTGACAAACTCCTTTGATCCTCTACATAATCGCATGTGGACACCGCACCTACCCAAATAGAGGTTGTTCATCAAATGTTTATAATCACCAGCAGGAAGCGGAACGAGTTTTGGGTTATTGCTCAAACTTGATGACGACTTTAGTGATTGCCTTACAGTTTAACATTTACACGTACCTTTACTGATCGTTTGCACTACAATTCAACCACTTAAACTATTGAAACAGTAGTAATTTGTTGACAAGCGTATGTAAAATATGATTTTGTGAGAGCATAACGCAGGTATATGAATCAGTTGTTTGGGAGTTTGGTCAAGGCTAATGTAGTGGAACTTTATAACCTCGTCGCGAAATCTGTTGGTCATCTAAACCCAGTCTCATTTAACTCTCAAAGTCACAATTATGTTTTGCCTTCGAGCGGCTGTAGAATTTGATGATTTTACAAACATTTTCTACCTCATAATCTGGCAATGCTATTAAATTCTGGAGTTTCTTTGATAGGACAAGCAGTGATACAGCATTCATGATCGAGTGACCCTTATAGTACAGTCAAATGTTCATAATCATAAACCAAGTGAGACTGTAGTGGTAAATAACTCGCCAATATTGTTAGCCCACAGCATTTAACACTACTGTTAACTCCACATAGTTTGAAAAACATGCAAAACAATCCGACGTGTTCACTCTACTTCAATTTTGTTTACTTTATATTTCGGATTCTTTTTACTGTGAGTGGAAATATGCCTTAGCTCATTCGCATTAGACCAACTTGTGCCTTTATTTAGCCGTTGCAGTTTTTGGTCAGGCAATTCAGAAACCCAGTTTCTGTACTCTGAGGCCAAATTGCATGAATGCGGAGACACTGACACACATTTACAAATCCCTGCTGTCATACGCTCTCTGTCTAAGGAACTGGGCAAACGGTTGCCGAGCATATGCTAACCAAAGAGGTAGGCGGCCTATTCAAGAGGTTTTAACCAGGTATCCTTGAGAGGAATGATCTCTCCGACTGTCATTACCTTGATGAGATTTTCGTAATGTCGAGTCTGAAGGTTCATCTGCCCTACATATGCTTGAGCGAATGCGAGATGTTGCCGGTAAACGGGAATTCGATGAGAAATTCTTCGGAGAGTTATCGCGGCCAATGCAGATTATGGTTGTGGTAACTTATGGAGTTGCCACTGACAGTTTACCTGCTTCAGACGACAAAATTCTTGCAGTATCACCGCTGCAAGTCGCTGAAATACTCATGATCAATGAATGATCTTCAAGTATGGAGTTAGAAACGACTGAATTTTGTGACTCTTAAGCGACCACTTAAGTTAAGCAGCTTTCGCATTTACCCACTTGCCTTCGTCAGTCACCCCGTGGTCACTCGAAATCTAAACCGTGTTGACCTAAACACCAGCACAGGCTGTGAGCGGAAAACCTTTTGTAATTTCGGTAGGAAATATGTTCATCCAAACACAGGTTTACGTATACCTATTCAGTGGGACTGTCTTAAGCATCATGATCTGCTCTGAGATATCTGCCATCTCTGGCAGAACGGTGGTATAATAAGCTATTTATTGAGTGATTTACCTTCGTGCGTCAAAGTATGTCACTGGCTAAAAAGATCATAGTCGATCCAACTCTCGTTTTAGATAGCAGCAGTCACGAAGACTATGATAGTATCAGTCCTATAAGACTTGATCCTTCCGCTGGCCACCCTCTGGCAGAATGCCTGCTAGCGCAAGAAGACGTATATGGTACCATGAGGGCAATAAAAGCCTCTAAGAAAACAAAAAGTGAAGCACGTTTTACTGATGGTGTCACCGTTAAGTTTCTAATTCGGCTGGTTTTGCTAACTGCCTGCACAACCCTACCAGGTGTGGGGGGGAGTGGGCTGTAGAAGCAGGTCATTTTTTAAAAATTATTAGCCTGCAGTCTTCACCACTAGTATGGGAGGGTGACCTACACTTTAAATCAAGTCATGAAGCTGAAGGCCTGCGTTCAAGCATTCATACCGTTCAGCATGTTATCGATGTACATCTGTTCGTTCACCCACATTCTCCAGCTAGTTAAGCATTCAGCATTGCACTACAGTGTCTATTCGCTCCTGCTCTACATACGGCAAATACCGTGGGAGTTGTGGGTACAAGAACTTGCGCTGGTATGCGTTATCTCCCTCATCTCTTGAACTGCCCTCAAAACGACGTTCACTTATAACTGCTGTATAACCGTGTGTTTTACGAAACAAGTTTATGTAATATTAGGAGCTTGTAAAACATGAAGTCTACTGTTTCAGTAAATCAACCATAGAGGTAGTTATATTTCACCATTCTCTCATTAACTCAATAAGTTGCGATATGCCTACGAAGTCTAACGAACCTATAGTAGTAAGGCTCACTTATTCGCCTTCCGAAGAACATAGAGATTTACATTTTGGTAGGCTATACTCATACACTTTGACTGTTGGCAGATATGTCCGCAGTCTCACCTGAGACAAGTGAAATAAAATAGGAAAAAATTTTAAGGGATCGAAGTGAAATCAGTTTTATTCATCTTACATACTTCACCAGATGATGTTCAAAGATGATTCGAACAAGAGTTATTAAAATGCTGTCAGTATTAGGTCTGAAGGTATCGGAGAATCATTTGAAATGTCTTTCGAAGCTTATTTTTGCAGATATGCTGGCGTTGTCTGATGTAACATAGTGACTAGTAAATAGAAATAGTGAGTCGAAGTAGACTTACGCGCACCAAGAGAAATTCACGAAGAGAATGTAGAGAAATTACTTAAGCCCACATATATACCTTCGTACGGTTAGTTTTGGAGCCTACTGCTGAATCACAATCTCATGAAAAACAGTCCATCAGTTTATAATTAAAATGTATTTATTTAGTCAAAGTCAAAAATCTACACTCTTGGGAATGACTGGCAGAACCAGCCTTATTTTTCGTTTGATCAGTGTCCGTTCGTGTGGCTATTTACTTTCTCCTGTAAATAAATGGCGCAAGACGTTATTGAACATTGAATCTCAAGATCGGGAGCAGAAGTCATCTGCTGCATTCATATTTCACAGAAAACTAAGTAATTGCATTTTCTGGTAAATATCACGTACTGATAGTTCTTTCAAAGCAGTATTGCTATGAAAGTTGACGTTTTAATCATTGAACCTGGTACATTACCTCCTGTTCAATTGTTCGTTCAACCATTGACCATTCAAATTCGACCTAGGATTGTCTCTTGAACACGGTGATTCAGAACATGATATTGAGCAACAAGGTTGCGCCTGCGACATTTGATCATCTGGCTTCTGGTGGTGAGTTTGTTGTTGAGGTACATAGTCGACAGGACCATGTAGCTTAAACAATAACAATAAAAGTGAATTGCTTATTTCACTCTTTTTCGCATATATAGAATTTCATTTTTTCATATCTAGCAGTTTAAAAGGTGTTTTAAGTAAATCAAAATTTAAACTTCAATTCACTCCTCAGACTTAGTGAGGGAGTGCACTGAGTCTGTTTGACTAGAGTCACTTTAGTCTTTGGCCTGCAAGTAAAAGGCGTTTGATTAATTAAGGGCCATTTTCATGTGATTTCAGTCACTTTGGTTTTTTATTTATGTTATCTGAAATCGTCTAAATTTTTTCGAAAAAATCCTTACATAAAAATCAGCTGCATCTACAAATTCTTATCACGAATACACTCAAGGTGTTGGTTATTGAGATTACTATTTCCTGAGGACTAGAGGTGCTTATCATAATTGTACTTCCATTGATTGGTATCGAATGTTTCCAACTATCGGTGTAAAGTGATTGCCCTAAAATGTTTCCAAGTTCAGAAATTTGTGTAAACTATCGAAAAATGTAATCAGAAAAAAACACTGCATTACACAACCAGCATACTGGTTTAAATTCTCACAGGTTTTATTATGGTTGGGTGTCTTACTCTATGTTTCCAGACGTTTACTCGAATTTTTTAAGTCTTTGACATCAGAGCTAAAGGTAGTACAGAAGTCTTTTGACGGAGATGGCATTCTGACAGTCTAGCCATCGTCCTCAGTTCTTAGTAAAACAGTAAAGCTTAGTTTCCTTTGGAATTCATCCGCTCATCGATTTGTAGTTAAAAAGTTTCTCAGCCGTTGATGCCAAACAAGGCTGTCAGTAAAATTATTAGTAGTTTCTTAAAAATTGAATCTTATAACCCTCAACTACTTTCTGAGTTTTTCAAAATCACCACCTTCATATTCATGAAAAGAGATAGAAACTATGTGCAAGAGAGGCAAATATCATCAGGTGTCTAGGGATGTGCTCGGTTATGCATAAGTCATTTACTTAAGCATCAGGCTTCTGATTTGCGGAGTGGTGTAATCCTCGTATTTAACAGCATCATGAATTTACTCTGGGTTACAATTAAGTACACAAGTTGGCAGTCGTGCCCTGGTTACTGAGGAAATCTCAGTACGAATGCAGAACTCTTGAGTGGTATCAGCTAAATTAGGTCGGGCGTAACGTGGACGTGCATGACTGTTGATCAAAAGGATGTGCATACTGCGCAGCAATGCCTTCCGTCCCATATTGTTTAGGACATGACCATTGAAACTGAATGATATGAATGCGCTGACTGTCTTTGACCATAGGCATCTGTGTTGTCTCCCTTACTAAGTGATATAATACAGTGAGTAATATTAAAGTTACGGGTAGTGTTAGGTAAGTAGAAGACATTGATCGAATAGGTCAGTATGCTTTTTCGATTGAGATGGATGGGACACATGTTGGACGTACAATGCCATCCTCTTCGTCGTCGAGAATAGTTACTTGACCTAGAATAAGGTTCAAAAAGTGTCATATGCGATCGAAGCATGACTTGGGATCAGTCCATGAAGACTTTGGCTATTGATGTAGGTCACGTGAAGAGGTGTAACCTGAATGGCTGGGTCATCGAGAAACTTAGAAACAATAGCTTCAAATTGTTGGTGATGTGAGTAGAAATCGTCGTCAAAGGTGAAGATGCGTTCATTCTGTGAACTAGATCCGTCGAATTTTCGTTATTCCCCCACCTACTTATTGTTTCTGCAGTAAATTTGCGTTCATTACAGTTCCTCTGGATTTTCTCCTCTACCATTATATGCTGTATGGCGCGTAGCAAGTTGAACTTTTACTCTTTTGTGCAAAGTTCTTCGTCAGTTTAACTCGTATACTCAATTATTATGGTACGCTAGACAGTCTGATTTGCGGTCTTTTGTGAGATACACTCGATTTCAAGGCCAAATACCCAAGTGGTAGCACAAACAATTAAAAACTTGTTTCAGTTTGTATGAGTGCAAATGTATTTTGTTTCCTTGATCATTCCGTGAAAAATATCTGATTTGGGTTTTTGTTATTTATTTCTTGTTTTTTTTGGTTTCTAAAGGTATACGAATAATTTATAATCAGCAGGATAAGACGTTTGCACAGCACGCAATTATTAATAACCACGTAGGTATTCATCAAGAAGGTAAGTAAATGTCTTCAGTATACTCGTGAGTTTTGGTAAGATTCATATGGCCTTACCAAAACAAAATGAGTCATTTCGGTGGATGAATAAACAATCCGTCCCCACTTTTTAGAAGCCATTTACATCCCACTTCGAAACTGAATTTGAACATACGGCTTTATAACAGATATCACATTAAAGTATCACATTTCACTCCCCCTCCCTCCTAGCTAAATATCCTGAGCGATCTCAACTAGATGCACTTGCCAGATATTGTAGTACTTGCTGACACCTTAAGTGTATAGTTCGAGAGTCTAGACATAGGGGTATTCATTGGAGACTAAGTGGTTAAAAGTTATGTACTAGGTGGCTTCTGTGACTGTGCTTAGATCACAAGCACTTTAGATCACCAAAACATCACCGTTGTGTTCGTTGTTTTTCTCAGTATTTTACCTAGACGTAGACATATAAATCACACTGCAATTAGTTACCGATGATGGGGGAGCATACTGGACTGCCGTTCACCTGTAAATAATTATCTGGACTTTAATAACGCCTTATTCTAGATTGGTCATGCGTTTCTGTCATTGCCCAAACCATGTTGATGTAATTTACTTGTACCTGTTACAACCAAATATCAAACTCTAGACTAACTAGTCACTCCATAAAATTATAGAAAATTGAAAGCACTTAGCAGGTGCTAGAAGAGCGGCGAGTATAACCATTTGTGGGCTTGGCTGTCCATCAATAATAACTCGACTTTTATAGTCTTTGTAGCTATCTAATTTCTGTTGGTCTATTCCATCTGACCGCAAGTACAACAGTTCACATAAGGTTCGTATGTTTATATTCACATAAAGCTTACTAAAGAGCTGTTAAGCAATAGTTAATTGGTGATATCAACTGCATACGGAAATATTGATTTTAAGAAGCCCAGTGTCTGTGAAGTAGTGTGGCCGACAGTGCGAAAGTTGACAAATTTCAAAACCACTGTGCAATGCACTTTGAAAAATAACCTGTCTGACCTGCATTAGCAGCATTGTTTACTTTGAATTGTAAAGCTTCATTGTTAAGTAAACACTGGCTCACTTGGTGGACGGCTGATCCTTTAAACAACTGAAGCACCACAGCGTCATCAGGCTACTTATCTGACTGTCAAAATTAACTTTCACAGCTCTTTGGTGTATACAGTCCTTCAGAACGTCTTATGACACTTAGCTTCACCGTCTGAATGTTTTCGAAGTGTTCTCTATTGGACTGTTGGTTTCCAGTGAGATTTCTTACGTTTGAACGAACGTCTTCTAGGAAGTGGGTATATTCTTTCAAAAATCGATATCAACATATAGGTAGTACTTGTGATTCATGTCGAGCCACCTCTCCTCGACAAGCAATGTTAGCTGGCTTAGGAATAAGCTAGTAGATGGGTTAGAGGTGGTCAGACCAAAACAGCACCGATCTAGGAAGTCTTTGACTAATGGTTTAAGGCATGTATAGAGTGTAGAGCGCCTGATTGGGGTTCTCACAATACTAAAAGTAAACAGTTAGAGACTGTAAAAGTAAACATCAGGGGAGTAGCTGGTGTTATAGTTATATGCTCTATGAAATGAAAGGTTCAAGAAGTCCGAGTAAACAAAAGAGAGGAGGATGACTGGCAATTACGCAACAGTTAAAATATAGTATTTTAAGTGGTTTTTAAAATCAAATAGAAATAAAATTTTCAAGTCCCAGGTTATTAGCCGTAATTCTTAAATGGAGACTAGTGCAGAAATGCAGTCTTTTGAGCTGAATTAGGTAGAGCAGGACTCGAGCCACTGCATGGAATAATTTCTACTAAATCACAAGGTAGTTGTTAAAATCCATGATTTTCATTGTTTTGTATTTTGATCCGTGTGTCCCAAAAATTGGTATCAGTACCAAAATAAATTTTAAAAGATGCGATTATAGTCTTTATTTTATGTTCTACGGGTCGTGAGAAGTTGATTAAATTCAATGCAATCAAGATTGATTTTCCGTAGTATGCATTTCACCTGAACTGATACTGCTGTCTATTCTCGATCTTATGATCTTGCACTTTGTAGGTAATTTGAATTTACGGAATTAGTTACTGGTAGGCATGTATGTTTCGAACAATGAATCGCACATACTAAATGCTGATACTTATAGGCATTCACGATAATCACAATTTGTTTGAAGAAAACTGATTATCTTAAATTATAATTTTGCTGTTTTCTTCATCTTTTTTATAACCACCGGTGTCATTTATTCCAATAATTTACGCATCCCTACTTATTTTTTACCACTCTGTCGCAGATGTCAAAGTGTTCTGCACGCAGGCCCAAGGAGGGTATCCACAGCACACTACTTTAAATGAACGCAAGGCTATTAAAGACTATGGTGAGTGAGTTTTCGAAATGATTCAGTGATATTTGGATTTTCTTTATGAGATTATTGCAGGTTTGTAAGAATTATTAGGTTTTCAGGGAAAGTATATATATATAGTACTACCAGTGTACTCAATTTTGAGTAACTTCAAACTAGTACGATCGCCCATAGTTCTGAACCATTTTGTTTCCTTGCTTAGACCCTGTGTTTCATAATTTTGAGCTGTGGTCTGTGATAAAAATATACCTATCATATAGAAATTGACTTCCTTTACTTATTACAAAATCTTTATTTAAGATCAAGATAGTTTGGAAGTTATAGCATGAACAAGCAATATTGTCGATGCATCTCTGATGCACTACCTTTAAAAATAGAACAAAAGCTGCTGAAGCAATTAAGTTGAATTATTCAACTGTCTTGAATACGTTAAGCGATTATATATTTGTTACGTAAACATTGGTACTATTCTTTTGTGAAATGCTTTAGACTTCTACCCAGGAACTCTTATTTAGCGTTCTGTTTACATAAAACTAAGCTAGTTTTTATCAGCAGTCTCACATTTATGTGATTGAATGGATCTGCCTTCTGAGTGGAATATAAAGCTTCAAGGTTTTAAAATTTCAGTGGCAGTGGTGTTTTTAGGAAGTGGGGTTGTTAGTCTCACACCCCGCCTTCCTTCTATACCAGGTTTACTGAGGACTAAATGTGGTTCATGTCTGTGTCTATTTGGAATTGAGCCTGGATCACACACATGCTTGGTCGGCGAAAATCCTACCACTGAAGTACAGACGCACAAATGATTTTTACTAAGTGTTAACTCACTAAAGAGTAACTGTGGTATAACCTTAATTTTCTTCCTTAATACTTATTTGTTTAGTTCATTCAGATTTCTGTATATTTTTTAGTTAATTCTTCAAAGTTGATGAAGAATACTAGCACGGCTATCAATACCATTAGTTTACTAAGATTGATATATTATTTCGATAAATTTAACCAGCACTTAAGGAACTTCTAGATTTTGATAAATAACCTTTAAATCGACACCTGTTTATATGTTGCAGTAATGCAGTTTGTATTGGTAATTGTGGCTCCCTATTGCTAATATGGTCATCAAAGTACCGAAAATTCATTCTTTCACTGTATGACATTATATATAAAAAATACCAGCACTTCTACGCTTTACTATGAACTATAGTGATGGTCAATTTGTAATATCCATTAATGAACTATTATTCAGAAGCAGCTTTATCTTACCTTTGTAATTCATCTAGTCTCATCTCTCTTAATATTTTATTCTAGGTAAATATTTCAAATGTTCATCATGTGATAGAACTTTTACATCAAGATCAGGATTATGGTATCATGTACAGCTTGTTCATGAAGGTAATTTCTTTGTTGTTGCTTAATTTTCTGCGTATTAGAAGATAAATTGTTAAGATTTAAATGGTCAAAAAACTAACTGTGACTCTGAAAACAAGCAAATGGTCCTGGGTTCGATCCCCTACCGACGCACACCTGATATCAATTGGTCGGCCTGCAAAATTTTGATTACCGATATCATGCTGAAAATTCCATACTTGTACCAGAAATACAGTGTGGAATCAAGCTATAATCAAAAATAAGAAAATTATAGATATGACATGGAAGAGATCATGTGAGTTGGAGATGGACGCCTATGGGCAATTGTGTAGCCAGCTAAAGACGCCTGTGGAAAGCATGATGAAGTGTAAGTGTGCTATTGAAGCCTTGTGTACATCTCGAAACTTAAGGGTATAATAATAATGATAATAGTCAAAGTATCTAATAACAGTATAATTAAACTACGGGTCTTTTAACCTTATAATATGAACTTGTATTTTTGATGGGGAAAATGGTTTTCTGAATTTGTTTTGTTAAAAGAAAAAGTGTTACTTTTCTGTTTTAAAGAAGACTTTGAATAAAGCCATACTACGCTTGTTCGTAGTTTAAAGAAAAATCTTAAATGCTTCTGTGACAACAATTCAATCCTTTTTTTCTTTTTCTTTTCTAGTACAAAATTATCCCTGTGATCACTGTTCAAGAACCTTCAGATTGAAGCAATATCTCATTGCACATGTGCAACAAGTACATGAAAGTAAGTAACCGAACTGTTGGAAAGTTTTTCGTAAATAGTAAATTTTCCTTTCGTGTTTTTGTGTTCACTAAAGTTATATTAGAAATAGCATAAAAGATATAGTTTGAAAGTGAACATAAAAGATAGAGGTGATGATGATGATACCTGACTAAAAGTAAATACCAGTCATAATTAACGGGAGAAATCTGACACTAATATGAACGCCTAAACAGTTTTGTAGTGTTTGTAATCTGGCCACGCATATCTATGCGGTGCGTCACCTTACCGTCTATCTTGCCTCTTATCAGTATTCCTAGTCTGCTACGTTAGTATAGGATGATTGAATTTCTTATACACAATTGTGTGTCACTTCAGACAAATGAGACACTCCATCCTTTTTTTCGTCATTTAAATCAATTTCCTGTCTCTCGTTGTATAGGGCTGAGTCTGTTCCATGAAGGCTATTTACACTAATATCTTGTTATTTCAATGAGTTTCAGTATGTTCGTTTATAACTAATAATGAAATCGGGGATCAGTGATTTATTTTCTGTCTGAGACTCGTGTTAGATGAAACTCTACAGTCCAGTTTATAAATATTTGTGCCGTCCATTAGACTGTTCATTTCAACTTTATTTCGAAAAAAGCACACGTTAGCAGACATTTATCATACTTTCTTAGTAGATAAGATTATCTCATTCTGGCGGTAATATTTATTTCTTTGTTGCTATCTAAACACAGTAACTTCTATAGTTTCTTTATTAGCAAATGTGAGACATTATGGAGCAGAGATTTGAGTGAATGTCTTTTTGATAGATGTGACATATATAAGAATATACAGTATGCCAACTGTAGAAATGATCTCTCAAAAATGCTGTCAACTAGTCCAGGTATTTAACCATGTTATCCTAATCAAAACGTGGAAATAAAAACCCACATCATGGATACACCCTGGTTTATTGGTCTAAAGAATGTAGTGTATATAAGCAGATATATCCAGATTTACTCATTTCACCATCCACTTCACAAAGTCGGTCGTACTGCTAAGCGAGTTCATGAGTAAACTTTTATTACTGATAAAACGTTTAACTGGAAGTTTTTCTTAATTAAACAACAACGGTCAAATTGTTATTGACGTTGACACAAGAATTTTATCTCCTCAGTCAGCGTCATTATTTCACAAAACTTATGGAATAACTCGAAGGAAGTGTTACGTGATTGAAGAAATAAATTTCAATATACTAATTATACTAATAAATTCTTGTCCAAATGATATTACCCTTTTGGTTGTAAACACTGAAGAAGTCTTGAAATTGGTAAAAATCTGAATTAGAATTTAACCATACTGCAGAAAATTTCATGTGTTAGACATTCCGACATTAAACTAAGCTTATGTCAATGAACTTTTTTTGAGGGATGAAACCACTTTTTCCGATTGTACTCTCACTTCCAGGATGATCAGTCATTGTATAGCTTTTTGTGGCTACCATGTGTAACTGTATTACAGTTATTTGCTGTGATAGCAGGTCATTCGATATGTCTATGCCTGCCCATTAAAAGACACTTTGGAATTTGTGTTGTTGTCGCTCATTGGATTAGACACTATTTTTAACTAATGGGTCAAACATTTCAAACTTCACTTCTTTAGCTTTGATCAACAGGTAATATCAGCGTCTCACAAATAATCAGTGTGGTTATCAAGTTCATTAATATCCATGTAATTGTTTAGTAACGCACATATAATGTAAACTAACCACTGATCTTCTTTCTTCATTCCTTACGTTCCGAATGGAACATAGGGACTCCAGCTGTTTGAGATTTCAGCAGTATTTGCGTTGTTTTTACGGCTTGGGGCTGCTAATCTCACGCCACACCTTCCATTTATTTTGGCTTACTAGGCCAGTTGGGCAAGGTTTTAGCGGCGTGGCAGACGGAAGTCAAATCCAGACCACGTCTATGTTTGTGGTTGGCGATCATTCTGCCAATGAAACACTGGACTACAATATGCTTTTTTCATTCCTTTACGTTTCCAGCGTAACATAGTGCTGTAAGCTACAGACTTGAAGTTTCGGTAGCAGTGGTATTTATTTTTACGGGGTGGGGGGATGCTGGCCTCATACCCAACCTCTCCTCTCTACCAGTCTTATTACTAGCCTAGTGAGGTAAATGAGAGACTACATTGTTACTAGCCAGCAATCATTGTATTGTGAAATTAATCTGTTAATTCTATTCTCCCTATCGTTTGTAAAATTAATTCAGGTAAAACATTTTCATGCATGGATATGTAAATTGTGATTTCCCTTTACAACTTAGAAATTAGAATGTATTTTAGGTTATTCAAAAGCATTTATTGAATCTTCAATATGTGTTTCAGCAAGTGTGATGTATTTTAGACAAGACAAGACACTTTTTTCACCCAAACATTTCTCAGATTTTAATTCTCTTTTGTTGTACTCTTTGTTTTTGTTTTTAATAGAAAGACTAGCAAAATGTGAAGAATGTGGAGCGACATTTGCTTCTTTGGGCAATTTAAAGAAACATGAGAAAAGCATACACGGAGGTAAATATTAACAACAATTTTCCGAATGTTAAATTGGCTCCAATCTATCACAAATATTTGAGTTTATAGTGTGGATAGATCATTTAATGTTTAATCATTTAACACATTTCTATGAGGTTGATGTATGATTTTTATCTTATCTACATAGTCGTCAGATCAACGTGGTTACACTACACACACAACTGTAGTAGTTCAAGTTCCTATATTTCGAAGCACACGAAATGTAGAGAACTAAAACTATTGGAATGCAACAAAAGTACAAGGTATCAAATGCTATCACAAATGATGGCGACTAAGTCCTTCTTTGACCCCGCATATTTTGAAGTAATATGTGATAGATTTTAAATGGCTTCGTATTCACACTCTTTTTGCAAATCAGAAAAATGAGAATTGAACTATATATTTCTCAGTAGAGTAACCGAAGTGAAACGGTTGAATTCCATTTCTTATCTAGATTTTTGTGTTTTTCAGTCATAGACTTTTTTTTCAAGCTCAGTTGCGTGCGACAGATATCTCATGTGCCAAGCCATACTTATCATGTGAGAGTTGATGATACTACCTAGTTTCCCAAGCCCCGGTGCAGAGGAGCAGGACTCAGACCCATGACTTACTGGCTGGAGACCGAGCAGTTAAGTCGATGAGCCGCATCTCCACTATTTGTTAAGGTGTTCATTTATAATGCATTATTTTTAAATGCCTGTATTGTAAAATGTGTTTCCCAGTTATTTCAGTTATAAGGTTTTTGTCTCTAACTAACATCAGTTAGACAGATCATTGAAAACCAGGGAGCACTGGACATCTGCTTTGTCCTATTTTGGGACTCTTCATCAGTTTGCGCCAACGACTTCGCCTTGGATCGAACCCGTGACCTTCGCGTTAGGAGAGAAAACTCTTTGATCATTCAGCCACTTCGGCTGGGATTCAACGACCCATAAATTTTAACTTTATCACTTCGTGATATGGCACTGCCTACACCACGTCATGGTATAGTGGATACTCATCGAAGGCAGTGGTGTTGGCAGAGCTATATTACAAATTGACGAAGTTACAATTTACGGGTCGTTGGATTTCAGCAACAATTAAAATTAATCTAAAATCCCTACAAATCCTACAACATGAATTTCCAATTATTAGTGGTGGTGGTGGTAGTAGTAATAATAGTCTCATGATTGTCTTATGCCATGGAATGTTAGGTAGAAGTTTCACATGGGTGTGGGTATATTATTGTAAGTGAATGCTTTCTTTCGTCGTCAGTAGGCCATTGCAATTAATCTTATTGACTAGTCTTAATTGTAATCGATTGACGATATTCTTAAGCAAAATAACAAAATATAATTGAAAATCTTTATTTCTACTTTTTCTTTTCAAATTTCACGTCTACTTAACCAGTTAATAAAAATCCAGCTAGTTGAATAATAGGAAAACCGACATTTCAACGGATAATAACTTAGACGTTTGTTTGTAGTCTATCGGCTTTCAACAGATAGTTGAAGTTATTTACTTGGATTACATTTATTTTATTAGTAATGCTTTTCGCTTTCACAAAGGTAAAGTTATATTCTTAAGATTAGATGTAGTTGATGTAGAGTTAAATTATACTAAAAGATAACAAAATTTTCATCAGATGGCTGAATGACTGACAAAATGACGCGAAACTTTGCTGAGAATTTCATCAATTCAAATCTCCTGTCTTCAAAGCTGCACACATAAAAGTGGAGAAATGTAAAGTAATAGGAGTGGAAATAGTTGATTCATGGTTTTTAAAGATTTTCAGAATTTAGGTGATCACTAGGAGTATATAGATGTGCGACAGTGTCAACCATTTGGAGTTGTGCTATTAATAATGTCCAACCATTTGTTCTCAGTCTACAGAGGATTTCAGTCAAATTGCCAATACCAACTTACATGGCTCAAATCAAATGTCATCGACTTCATGGAATAATGTCATAGTTTGTTCTTGCAACTTGTAACTTTTCAATCTAATCATATTTCAGCTGACATTGTCTTAGAAAGGAATGGATTGGTAAGCCTAGAATAACACTCGTTTGGACACCTCACTTGGTGAGGACCCACAACTTTCACTATCAACTTCATCTCCTTATGTAATACTTTGTCTAGGCTCATTATTATTCGTTGTGTTGCTGTATCTAGTGGAAGTGATTCAACGAAAACATATTCTAAATCTTTTCAATATTTCCCTTTCTTCTAGCTTCAACCGTCATGTCTTATAGTCTCAGAGTAGGACAAAGTGAACTCTTGTACAATACAACTTGTTTGATTAGTAGCACTGTCTGCGAGAGAAAGGACTCAATTTAGTAAATGCCAGACCTGGCTTCTGTATCTATGTTAAGATTTCGCCAATTACAAGTCAAATGAGGCTGGTACAAATTTTTGGGTGATTAAAGTTGTCAACGTTATCATTAAGTACTTCATCCCAATCTTGTTGCACTTCACATGTGATAACACCATGTCAGTAATTCTCAATTGTCTGTTTAGGGTATTTGAAAGATTTAATCGTGCAACAATTGAGTATCCTAAAATCTTAAATATTCTTAAGTTGAATCTAATGTTATATCGACTTAATAGATAGGTAGCACCAGTCAATGAAATCTACAACAGTTAGTCTCAGCAACGTAAGAAGGTGTAGACTTCCTGGTTGGGGTCCTCGGGACGGTAAAAACCAATCGTTGGAAACAATTTGTGATATGGCTCAAAATCGTTTTCAATGGCTAGTGCAGATTCATCCACTCCTTGTGACTTATGATTTCCAATGAAACTGTTTTGTTCTTCGTTACTACTATTCCTTTGTCTCACACCTCTGTTTACTGTCTCTGTTACGCATTTCTTCTACTTTCTTCTGTGGCTTTGAGTGCAACATGGAGCGTGGCGACTTGAATTGCCGCACATATGTGCAAAGTTCTATGTCGAAAACAGACAGACAGACTTAATAGATATGTAACTCGTTAGTTAAAAGACTTGCCTTTCCAATTCCACTGCATCTACTTCATACTGTCTTCACACAATAAGTGTGGTTAATAGCCTTGTATATAAAAAATCTGTCCAAGTAAATTTATTTCTGAATAAGATATATTGACTTGAGTTCAAAGGTTTCATCCAGTTTACTTATAAATCAAAAATCTTCAACATGCATTCAAATAAGGCTATCATCTTATAATAACTGTTTACCGAAATAATAATTTTATACTTTACTGAATTATTTTAGGCCGACTTTTCGACTGCCCTTCGTGCGATCGTTCCTTCACTTCTAGATCTGGCTTGTGGTACCATATTCATCTTGTTCATGATGGTAAGTTATTTCCATAATATATATATATTGCTGTCTTATGTACTGGTTACAAATAAAAATATTCTGAATAAAAAGAATCATACAAAAGAACTCTGCCCAGGGCTGTCTGGGTTCAGGGAAGGTAAATCATGCGCTGATCAAATTGCAATTCTAAGCACCATCATCGAACAAATGGGAGTCAAACTTTTAATTCATTTTCGTCGACTTCGAAAAGGCCTTCGGCAGACCGTTTTGACCGAGAAGTAATTTGGAACCTGCTTCAACACTATGACGTACAATGCCCAAATCTTTATCAGCCTCACTCAACAGCTGGTTATGTGACAATGCCACGTGTCAGGTGATCCATAACGGTAAACTCAGCGAAGCTTTTGAAGTGAATACAGAAGTAAAAGGTGGTTAACTGTTATTATCAATGTCATTCCTAGTCGTGGTGGACTTAAGTGGGAAGACAGGAATATGCTGGAGAGATCAAAAGAGTGTAGAAATATAGATTCCGTGCGTGGATAATTTATGTCTAGCCTCACACGAGCTCGTACTTTCGGACGAAAACCAACAAACCGGCAGAAGAGGTAGACAGGACTCCAGGTGAACATAGAGAAGGTGCAAGTGATGAAGATAACTAACCAACGTCAACAATCACCATCAACGGGAGAGCTTTAACAGAGATTACATCCTTCACTTATCTAGTCAGCCAGCATCCTTTCAACCACAGGCCGGCGGAACAAATGAAGATGTCAGAGCCAGCCATAATGGGGAAGGCAAGACAGGCCTTCATCAATCTGAAATCAATCAATCTTTTGCACTGAGTAAAAAGAAAAATTTCGAATTTTCAGTACAAATGTTAAGTCAGTTCTTCTAAATGGTTCAGAAACTCGGCCTGTGGAGGTAAGCATTTCCAACAGATTGCAGACCTTTATCAACATCTGCCTTCGCTTCATATTGAAGATCAAATAGCCAGCCAGAAGGAATTAGCAACAAGAAACTCTGGGAGCAGACGAACTGGCGAGAACTTATTGGTCAAAAAATATGTAGGAGAAAATGAAGATGGGTAGGGCACATGCTGAGTGGACTGTCGAATGACATTGGGTACCAGGCCATAGTAGAACTGGATGAGTGGGTCGTCCAAGGGTAACATGGAGGAGATCGCGTGAGGAAGAGATGAGAGATTATGAGCAATCGTGAGCCGAGCTAAAGAGGACAGCAGAAAACAAAACAATTTGGAGCTGTGTTGTTGAAGCTCTATGTTCCATTTGGAACCCAAGAGAACAATAATAATATAAATAAGTGATAATTAATTAGTGCTTGAACGAGCGAAAGGCTTTGTGACATCCGCTCACTTTACTGTCTTAATCTTGTTACTACTCTACCTATGAACCCCTATCTCATTCTCACCTCATCCTTAATTTTCACAGTGTTTTAGACCAGACATTTGATGTTACAATGTTCATATTTTGTACTAAACAGATAAACAATAAGTTTGGTTTGAGACTGAGAATTTTTCTCAAACGCTTATAAATAACCCACGATAATGGAAATCAATTGTTCCACAAGCGCAGGTGTAAAACCAAGTACGCTTATCAAGAAGCATGTTAGAATGATTTAATATCACAGGCTTTTTAAGGAAGCTAACTGAATTACACATTTAAATAAGATGCAGGCGCAATGGGTAATTTTACCAGACTGTTATCATTCTTCGTTTATTCCAGTTGGATTATTCACCGTAGCCAACATGGTTTCTGAAATGTTAAGATATTTGATTACTAAAAACTGAATTCGGACTCAGAAAGAACAAAGCTAGGTGCAATGTAGATTTTAGACACCTTGTATATGGCTTATACTGTCCATAAAGTCTGACCGTCCATTTATGTATACACAGTTACATGCGGATATATATATATATATATGACACATATTTTACCAGACTAAGATTGGCTATTCTTGATACGTTTGCATTCTCCTTGTCCGTATAACACATAATCTTGTTTTGTATATTAGAAAATATTGTAAATGTTAAATGCCTTTAGTGATTCTACACGTGTTACTGATGAAGTGTTCATCTATATGCCTTTCTTCGTCTTTTCAGTACAATCCTTTCAATGTGATATATGCTCCAGAACATTTGCATTAAGAGTTTATCTTCACGCTCATGTACAACAAGTTCATGGAAGTAAGTTGTTTTGTCGTTTTTGTAGAAAGTATTTTTGCTATGAAATGCCTATTTTATCTGCATGTCGTTATATTCTTTCAGACAAGTTTTGGTGTAACACATTAGTCTGCCACATACAAGTTTTTGCACTACAAAATAAGTCAAACTCACTATAAGGATTGGTATTAAATTGTACTTGGCCATTTTAACCGTATAGTATTAGAGTTTGAATGAGTCACTTACTAGTTGAAAGTTGCACATCGTTAATAGCTAAACTTTCACCTCCATATTTTCCACTCATGAGCTTATCCATAAATTCAAATATCACATCCGGCTTCTCTGTCCTATCGGTGGCAAAAATAAGTCAAAATGAGAATGCATATATGGTAAACTATCTTCTCTGATATTATACCTTCTTATCTCAATTTTGCAGTGCTTAACTTTAACCTGTGACCAGTAAATAATATCTGTGAAAAAAAACAACAGATGAAGTATTAACTTCATCATTGTGCCATCCCAATGTGTGACAAATACAGTTGACGCGGGATTTTTCCAAGTTTTACACTGATATGTCAGTTAACCGACTTGTGTGTGTGTGTTATTATTTATTACGTAACATGGATTACTGAAATCTTCTATGTATAAAAATTTTGTGCGTATGTATACATCTTTGTCGTAAGCTTCACCACTATCTCTCTTAGTTTCTGTGTTTATTTCTTGATTTTTCACCTTGTTTGTCTATTGCCACACAACTAGTATTACTATTGAGTCCACAGGAAATATTTTGTTTAATTAATTCTATATCGACAAACTGGAGGTCATTCAAAAATTTGTTATGCATAAAATATCAATAAATGCATTGATCTAATACACGCCTACCATTAATGTATCAGAGTTCAATCTCTGAGTTTCTTTACATTACGAACCTCCATTACTTGAAGCGGCATATGGGACCGACCAATCGGCCTAAAAAAAAGAGTTAAGTTGATAAAACTGAAGTTCAACATGAATAAGTTATTTAGCCTGATTACTTGTCTTCAATGCACTGACTCCCTGGTTAGACTTTGAAAGATAAAGCGCAATCTTCATTAATGACATCGATTTGATTTGACATTTTCTTCTTTTTGTCTTTTGTTTGTTGAATGCATTATTTTTCTTTTATTTCATACATCTTTCCTTATAATGCTTAATTGTGTTTATAGTCTACCAACATGAAATGGTCATCAATCATTTCAGGTCTAGTGTTGATCACTTAGTAATTATTAACACATTGTCATCTTACTATATTCAAGGAAATTAAAGTGTGATCTTTCCAGATGCAATATCATATACAGTGCATTTTTTCAAATTTCTGTTTACAAATTCAATTTTACTACACTTAGTGATGATCATATTGTTGGCGTCGTTCATAATATAAGTAGGTATACATATCTTCACTACATTTTATTTTGTGTTCTCTTTTTTTATAGAAAGAATGGTTAAATGTGAACAGTGTGGTAATTTTTTCTTGTCTGGAAGTACTTTCAGAAGACATGTAGAAACTCAACACAAAGGTTAGTTGGTTATAGATGACAGCAAGCATATTCATGCGTTGTGTATAACAAGTAATTTTACCATGTGCATGAACTGGTCGATTTTCACGAGGTAATTTATTTTGCTACATAAAGTAGCAGGTAAATTGAATTCAATTTTTCTCTGACTTGGTTGTTGTCTTTTTAAAGTTTGGTTAATCTAAAACCTCTATACTCGCATTGTAGTTTTAGTAATACTGCTTTTATCCATGAAGCTGGTATCAAGTATAATTGGAATCCTTAACTTGTTGACTGGAATTTGGTAGTCTGTGGTAGTTAGATAGTCATCCATTTTCTCTGCTGTAGTAATAATCGGAATAAAAATGGGGCTGTTGCTATAGTTCCAAAAGGAAGGCGGTGTATATGTATCTGTCTGTCTGTCTGTTTTCGACATAGAACTTTGCACAAATGTGCGGAAGTTCAAGTCGCCACATTCCGTGTAGCACGCGAAGCAAGAGAAGAAAGTACAAGAAAAGCATAATAGAAACAGTGAGCAGAGGTGTGAGACAAAGGAGTAATAAAGAAATACAAAACAGTTTCATTGAAGATCATAAGTCACAGGGAGTGGATGCATCTGCGCCACTGAGAACGATTTTGAGCCATGTCACCAATTGTTTCCAACCATAGATTTTTACCGTCCCGAGGACCCCAGCCTGGAAGTCTACACCTTCCTACGTGGCTTAGACCAACTGTTGTGGATTTCATTGACTGATGCCAAGTTTTTGTTTGACCGCCGCTAGCTTTTTTCCAGCCTGACCCTATATCCGCTAACATTGCTCGTCGAGGGAGGCGATGGCTTGGCATACGTAACACATGTCCTAACCATCTCAGTCTTTGTAGCTTCACGACTTCGTCGATTGATTTCCCCTGTTTACCTAGAACTCTACGCCTAACCTCCATGTTGCTCACCTTATTATGCCACTTTACACGGGAAATAGAACGCAGGCACCTATGATCAAAGACAGCTAGTCTTTTCATGTCTTCCACTCTCAGTGGCCAGGTCTCACAACCATAAAGGAGGACGGAGCGGACTGATGAGCAGTACACCCGCCCTTTGGTCGATAGTCGAACATCTCGTCTACGCCAGAGTCGGCGTAAACTAACAAATGCGAAACGAGCCCCTTGTATTCGTGCTGAGATTTCGTCAGAGATCAGCCCGTTGGGGCTGATGGTACTTCCCAAATAAGTGAAGCGGTCAACGTGCTCTACCACTTCACTTCCTATTTTTAAACTAGGCGTCGATGTAGTCCAGTCCTGTAACATCATCTTGCATTTGGCGGGAGCGAATCGCATGCCAAACATTCGTAGATTGCGGCTCAAGGTGTTTAGAAGACTCTGCATTTCGTCAGCGTCTTCGCCTAGAAGGACTATATCGTCTGCATATTCCAAGTCAACGAGATTATTCCCGGTAGCAAGTCAATCCCTGAGTCGCTGAAGTCACCTAGGGTTAAGTCCATTAACACATCTATGATGAAGTTGAATAGAAAAGGAGATAATGGGCATCCTTGACGGACACCACTGGTCGTCATCAGTTCAGATGACAGCTCGCCGTAAGCCCTCACCTGGCTGTATGAGTACGAGTAGAGTGCCTTAATCAGTGCAATATATTTTCTTGGAATTCCCTTTACAGCCAAGCATCTCCAGAGAACTTCCCGATCGACAGAGTCGAATGCTGCCTTTAGGTCAAGAAATATAATGACTGTTGGACGCCGGTAGGAATGCCTATGTTCTAGAATCTGTCGGAGGGTGAAGATATGATCAATACACCCTCTTCCTGGTCTAAAGCCTGCCTGGCTCTCTCGTGTTTGTGCTTCCCGAGCACCACTCAGTCTACGCATGATTATTGAGCCTAAGACTTTAGATACTATATTAGTCAAGCTAATCCCTCTGTGATTATCACAGGAAGACTTGTCTCCCTTCTTGTATATGGGGATAATCAGTGACTTACACCAACCCGATGGGACTTCTTCTGATTCCCAGACGCTGCCTAGTACCTCAGTTAATCCGGACAGTAAGCTGTCTCCACCGTACTTAAATACCTCTGGAGTCATTCCATCAGGTCCCGCTGCTTTGCCTAGTTTCAGATTGGTGACAGCTTTAGTAACCTCAGTTAGTGACGGAGGACCTGTGTCTATATCCCATTCAGGGAGGTGTTGGATGCTCGGAAGGTTGAGCGTGGCTGTGGGCAAATTAAACTGCTCCTCATAATGCTCTTTCCAACGATCCAGTCGTCTATCCTGGAGCTAATTATAGTGCCATTTTTTTCCGAGATTGTCTCACTAATGATTTGTCTTCTCCCACCCGTTTCCCTGATGAGTCCAAAGAGTTGCCTGGTGTTGCCTATCCTCGAAGCTTTCTCCATCTCTTTGGCTTTTGTCGCCCACCACTGTTCACGGTCCTTGCGGAGACTTTTCGTAAGTTTCCTCTTGTGCAGCTTTCGCTCCTCATTGAATTCGGAGCTCGCCGGAATAAGTCTTCTAGCATCTATCAGTTCGGATGAGGCGGTGGAGATCCAGTGGTTTTTACTCACCTTTGGGTTTACCTTATTCACAGCTTTTACAGCTGTATCTATGGCTGCCTGGATATTTTTCCAAGCTTCTTCAGGGTGAGCACAGCTGTCGAACACAGATATGTGTTTAGCTAGTTCTTCCTGAAATACGGATTTAGTTTCCTGATCGAGCTGGGGACGTGATGGTTTTACCGCCAGCTGTTTCCTACGTCCGTTCAGTCGTAAGCACACCCGAGCGCGGACCAGTGCATGGTCGGTATCTACGCACGTGTTCCAGAAGGAGCGACAATCTCCTACCGACCCACGCCAACGATAGCTTATTGCTATGTGGTCTATTTGTGTCCAGCGTTGGTTTGATGAAGGGGGTCTCCAAGTCAAACAGTGTCTCTCCTTGTGTTTAAAGTTAGTGCTTACAAGAAACAAATGATTATCAGAGCAGAACTGTAGGAGACGGTCACCGTTGTCGGTTCGCTGGCACGGAACTCCATAGGTGCCACCGACATCCTTCTCAGATTGACACAATTTCCCTACTTGAGCGTTAAAGTCACCAGCTAGAACGACTATGTCTGAGCGTTTAGCCTTTCCACCAAACTAGACAGCTTTTGGTAGAACTCATCCTTCGTTTCATCTGAACTGCAGTCAGTGGGGGCGTAGGCGGAGATTACGAAAAGGCATCGGCGAGTAGTGCAGTCCTTCCTCCTTCTTACTGATCCGTTCAGGCGGACAGCACACATTCGGCTATCTACCGGGATCCAGTCAAGCAATGTCTTTTCTGCCCTAGTACTCAAAGCTATCCCTACGCCAGCTAATCCTCGTGAACTAGCTGTGGCATCTCCTGACACCCTCAAGGTGAATTTTGCAGATTCAACCTGTTGGCCAGGTGGGGTTAGGTGAATAACCACACTTGGGTCTTGTATGCGTGTTTCTGAAACACAGCATACATCAATGGCTCGTGATGCCAGGGTCTTGGCTAGTGATGCTTGTTGTCCTATTTGGCAAAGTGTCCTAACATTAAGAGCTCCTATATGAAATTGGTGGCGCGGCTTTAAGAGGCTGTCGGTGGTGGTTTTTTGGCTTCCATCGTTTTTAGTGGACGCAGAGTGGAGAGGAAGTGGAGAGCTATCAAGTCGAGGAGTTGCATCAGTGGAAGGAAGGCAAGATGATAGAGATGAAGATGAAGACAAAGATGAGTGAGTAATAGAGAGGTTTCGTGTGCATTTCGGATTGTGAGGGCGATTGTTACTTCCCGGCTGCCCACACCGTGGAAGTTGGTTGCGTGACCGCAGAGCCCAGGGGACAACTGCTTGAGGCCGGTCACACGCGGCCTGTTTTTGTTCGTTCTTTTTTGTTTGGTGTGTCTCAGTAGCAGATTTATCACTCCCGCCCTGTGACACGGCAGCAGGAAGCGCGGTCGTTGTTAATCCGGGCCACGGCCGATCCGGCATGAAATTTTGTAATTTTGTATTGGACATGATGTTGGATTGGGTAGCTGCTTTTTGTTTAACCGCTATCCAAACAACCTGCCTGGCATGGTAGAACCTCAAGAGACATAAGTCTCAGCCAGTATAGCTTGATTAGGTCATTGCGGTGTTCAAGCCCGACCACCACGTCAAGGTAGCAGCTTTCTTCCACCATACACAAAAAACCCACCAGTAAACATGTATCATAGTTAGTAGACAATATTTATTCTAATTTAATTTCGCATTTTCCGTTGATTGACTACTTTGGACCTAAATTCTTGATCTCTGCTGATATATTGGCTCCTGATATAGACGTCTCAACGATGTCTGTGGATTAATTTGAGGTTATTGTAGCTGGTGGGGACTAGCAGTGGAATCTAGGATGCTCATTACATCCTACCTTTGACTCGTCATTCAGGTATACTTGCATTCTTAGTGAATGACGGTATTCTCAATGAGACTCGAATCCAGCAGCTATCATTTCAAACGCTAAATGTTATGTTTCATGCTACGATTTTCTTCGGATAGATTTTGCATGTACCAGGCTAAGAGCTATACTTATCCTGTAACGACTTGATAATACTGTCCATGCTGAAGTCAGCAGTACTCGAAGCCCGTGACCTATCAGTTGGGCAAAGGAGTGCATAAAACGATGGAGCAAGATAATAGGTGGAAAAATGCAGTATCCGTCTCTAAATGCACTTTCGGACCTACACCTGCCACGTTAAGCATTTTTTGCATAATTTCTTTCAAGATGGCCATTATAAATATTGAATCACTCATTGGGGAAGAAAGAATATTCTTTTTTGATAACTTCTCCCAATTCTACAGCTATACATTCATTTTAGTTAAGGAATAGTTGGTAGTGAAAACATCAATTTTTTTAAGGAAAAAATAACATCTAATTATTAAGATAAAAAATCCAGTAAGCACATGTGAGTAAATCAGTACTAGATTTCATTTCAAAGCACGTATATGTGATGATATGCATGCATATAGTATTTAGCTGAACATCAGATGTTAAAGTAAATTATCATGAATGACAGTGTGTGCATATATGTAAAGGCTCATCATTAGTGCTCAGAATGGATTCTATTCAGTCAAACTATAGGTTATATATATATATATATATATATATATATATATATATATATATAATATGAGCAATCAAGGTTGAATTAAGGTTTGTTCATAAAAGTATAGTAATAAATAAGGTGTAAGGGAGATTTATACATACAGGGCAAAGGTCACACCTAAAACACATGCCCTCACACAGTATTTATAGACCTATAAATTCTTACTAGTGTAAATATATATATGGGTGACTGAATGAGTCACTAATACAGCTAATAACAACTATTCATCAACTAATATATATATATATATATATATATATATATATATATATATATAAACAACTGTAGGACCTCAAAAAGAGGTAGTCGTAGGGAGAATTCATTAAAAGTGTGGAATTCGGGCATCTCTGTCCTTGTGAGTCTGCAATGGTTTGTTTAACAAGCCAGAGAGAGTTTCAAAAAACTGGCCTGTGACAGCATCATTTTCAGTAAAGTGATAAATGCAAATTTATATTAATTTGTATACTATATCATCTTAAATCCTGTTTTATTAATATCGTATACAAAATATAAGGAATAAGTGGTAACTAAGTCACTGTAATTCGTCATTAGATAGTAATTGTGTCATTTGTATAAAAAGGTTTGGAGTCGTTTACCCCTAAACTGTTTGATGTATTCTGCGTCTCATACTATATCTCTCACCAATGGTTAGTTCAACTGCTAAGCACAAAGCAGAACTGAATGAGACTTTGATAACATTTTCTGTTCGGCTTTTATTTATTTCTATCACGGACATAATAACATAATAAATTCAAAGGAACTTGTCGACAGTCACATTTAGGACAAAAAAGAGTGAGTAGTGTACTAGATTAAATAATTGGACGACCGTTGTTTCTGAATGCACCACAAAATAACTCTTGAAGAATGAATGTGTATGTAGATCTTAGGAGCTATGGTAGTATGTAATTTTGTATTAATTTATTTGTTGGATATATCATAAAGTGAAGACTATGGCAGCCCATCTGACGGAATGATTTAGCTTATATGATATTATTAAGGGATTGTTATGTCAAATACATAGGTCAGAGTAAGCTGAGGTCAATTTCGATGAATGGTGTACAAAAGCCTGACGAAATCTTGACTAGTAGAACCCTAATAAGATAAGAAAACTAGAAATAAACTCATCTTAAGCGCTGCGCACAGTTAAACCCAACCATACCCTACAATGAGACAAGGTGACAGTCTTAAGATATAATTTCAGAGTGTAGACGTAGAGATTCATTACTAAAGCCTTACTTATCGATTCAACTGAGAACACGTACTGCAGGAGTGATTCAACGCATATCCCAGACATCTAGAAAATTCTGCTGCCCTTACAACAAATGAGAAGCAAGAATAAAGAGCTATGGGAATTGAGTTTCAAAGTTGTACAGTTAAGTATGATATGATTATAAACAGTAAATTGTGTACGAAAGATCATCCGGTAAATAATACTGTGTCGTATAACTGATGTACAAATTAATGTGAAACTCTGTGCGTCGGTGGCACAGTGGTTAGGACTCTCGCCGACCATGCACATGGTCCGGGGTTCGAACCCTCGCCGACGCACACCTGATATCTATGGTCAACCTGCAAAATTTGGGCTACCGGTATCCACGCTAAAAATTCCATACTTGTACCCAAAAATACAGTGTGGAATCAAGCTGTAATCAAAAATAAAAATAAAAAAAAGATCAATAATCGATTACGATCTAGTTGTCATCCTTCTTCGTATATCCTCTTGACGAATTCACATAGTGCTATCTGGTTTTCAATACTTATTATCCATTAATAGAATTTGTAGTATTTTCGTAAAGTTGAGTAGCTCTAATTCAGTAAATAAGGAGGCATGCAACAACAGTTTTATCGGTGTAACTTTTGTATCTCCTGAAATTCGTAGAATATTTAATGTAAATCAGACTTAGTCACACATTTCCTGAGATATTCAAATTTTCCGTTGTTTTTCTGTGAAGCTTTTGATTGTAATATTCAATGGCCAAATAGTTATCACTGTCATGTTGACTAGTATTCACAGTTGTTCAAGAGAGTATCTACTTGCAATCCTCTACAGTATTTTTACTGGCAGTTGCTTGTTAAAGTTACTGGGTCGTTGAATTTGGTTTTATTTAGTGTTGTGTAAAGACAGGTTACTGGTGTTTTGTAGTATGCTTATCTGCTTACAGTATGACTTTGGCTAATTATTAAAGTCATCAGTTCAACTGCTTTGTATTTTATACATATCTTAAACTTCTGTTTTAGGCATGCAACTTCCACTCAGTAACCATTATAACTCTCCAGTTGATCGGAAACCATCTGGATTAAAACCACCCGTAGGTAAGCATTACTCATACTATTAGTTTGTATACTGTGGTTGTTGGTTAATTTTTGACCTATGAATATTTATTATTCATTACAAGCTAAATTTGTCCGTTTTTCTGATACCAATTTAACCGTTATAAGGGTATGTGTGTCATATGATATCGATTTCTTTTACCATTAGAAAATGTTTTAAATGTGAATCAAACTTTTGAAATTCGGAAGATGATTACAGACTAGTTGAACCGTTCTTTCTGTTAATAACTTTGACTCATATAATTCAATTTCTCTGTCAGTGGGTTTTTAAAACGGGATTTCATCTGTTAAGCCTACATTCCTATATAGGTCTAAGTATAGTTGTCAGGACCTTCAGGGTTTGTTGCTAAATCTTGGTCAGGTGATTCTTAGTCTTCTTGCTGTGTGTGTATACCTTCTCTGGATTACTTCTTGGTGAGGACGATGGTTCGACATACCCTACCCTAGTCACAATGTTATCTCGCCTTTATTTAAAATTCAAATTTAACACACGGGACTGATGTTTTAAGGTAGAAGTTGTAGTATAGCAATAGATAAGTGGTCGAAATACGAATCTAATAAAACTCGTGGTATCTGTATTGTTAAAGATAATTTTCAGTGCGTCAAATAAATTTGTTTATGAGTTAGAAAATAAACCAGTCAGTTTGATAACAAATATCTCTGATTGACTTGTATCAGTTAGCTTTAATTATTTCTGCAGGTGTAAAAATTCATTATAAATTGTTCATTTCAGGTGAAGTGATATTCAAATGTGCCAGTTGTAACAAATCTTTTGCCTCGAGATCTGATGTCGCAGTGCATTATAGACATGTACATGCTCGTAAGTAGAATTGGATGTATTTTTTAAAATTTCTAATATAAATGTCGTTTTGTTAATAATCCGACTATTGTATTTATTATCTTTTCCCTCGAGAATTAAATGATTCAGTACGAAGTGTTAGTGTATGTATGTATCGTCAAGCAACAAAAACACGAGTTGAATGCAAGCTACAATACGCTGAACAAAAGAGTAAAGAAGAGTGCCAGGAAAGACAAAAGAAAATATTATGAAGCCATGGCAAGTGAATCAGAATAGGCTGCAGGCAAAGGAGACCTCTCAACACTCTAACAAGCAACTAGGTTCCTATCCGGGAAAAGTTCGACAAAAATTAAGACAGTAAGGGATGACAATGGAAAGTCAATTTTCAAAGAGGTGGAGCAAAGGAAACACTGGGTTGAACACTTCAAAAGACTTCTAAATCAACCGCCACCTACAACGCGCCCAATAATCCTAACACCAGAAGCAGAACTACCAGTGTAGATTGAATAGTGTGACAGACAGCGGGTAGCGAGGAAACGGGCATAAAATGGACTCACACAAAAAAACTTAGAGGATCTAGACTTCGCCGATGATATATGTCTGATCTCCCACAAACCGGAAGATATGCAAGTGAAAAGCAACATGTTGACAGAAGAAGCATCAAAGATAGGACTTCACTTCAAGTGAACATAGAGAAAACAGAGGTGATGAAGATTCCTGGCCAACAGCAACAACAACAACACACACCAATCAGCATAAATGGGAGGAACCTGAAAGAAACAACTTCCTTCACCTACCCGCCTACCTGAGAAGCATCGTATCAACTACAGGCGGAACTGACGAGGATATCAAAGCAAGGATCGGGAAGGCAAGACAAGCTTTCATTACTCTCAAGTCTGTGTGGAGGTCAACAGCACTCAGCATCAAAAATAAGATCCGGTTTTTCAAATGCAATGTGAAGTCAGTGCTGCTATACAGATGGATCAGAGACTTGGCGCGTCATAAAGAGTACCTCAAACAAACTACAGACCTTCATTAACAGTTGTCTTCGCTCATTACTTCGCTTAAGATCAGATGGCCAGGGATCTCTGGAAGCGAACAAACCAGGAACCGATTGTGAAACAAATAGGCAGGAAGAAATGGAGATGGATTGCCTGGCCGTACTCTGAGGAAACCATCAAGTGACATCACTAGACAAGCCATCGCTCGAGTGGAACCCGAAAGGGAAGCGGCGAGTTGGTTTCCAAAGGTGACTTGGAGGACGTCATGTGAACAGGAGATGAAAGCATATGGGCAGACTTGGAGCCAGTTGAAAATTCTAGCAGAGAACCGAACGCCATGGAGACGCGCGGCTGAAGCCCTATGTTCCTCTAGGAATTAAAGAAAATAATAATCTAACATCGAACCTGTATAGGCTTATAGACTAACTACCTCAGATCAAATTATATGAATAGAATTTATACGAATTTCATAATGTCATAATAATAATGTAAATGCATTTTGTCATTTTTTTCTGATGACATGAAATGTCTTCCAAAAAAATGTCTATTTTTGATGCTTTTGAAACTTATTTGATTGTGTTACAAACATTAATTAACCTGTAAAGTGCTCAACAAAATTCATCATTTGCTTATGTAAATGAAAAGTATCACTAGAAATTCATCCAGTTCATACAATGGATTACTCATCAACCACTCGTGATTGCATACAGTTGGAAATGAGCCACATCGGTTGTATGTGGGCTAGTGAAAATAACTTGCTGGTTGAACCTCGGTTGGTACTGTGGGACTCGAACCCCTGACCCCTGTGGTTAGTAGTTGAGTGATTAGATCAATGAACCACAGTTCTTCTAGTCTATATTTATTCCTTTCATTAAGAAGTTCATTAGTTTACTGTGTCACTGTTATCCTTGTGTTTTTCCACTACGTGATCAACTTTTGACTGTCTTTAAAATATGAGTATGTATGCCTTGGTGAACTGATACTGGTTGGTGTAATCGGTAGCAAGGGAAACGTAACATGCAAATGCGTGTTTTACCACATGACTTTTCATGTTTACACTTGAATGACAGGGTTTGAACTTATAAGTATCAAACTTGGACATTGTGGTAGAGTATAACTCCATTATAGATAAGATTTTATTTTGATAAATCACGGTGTTGTAGAGTAATATTAACTGATGATATGATTATGAGCAATAATTTGTCCTCTAAACGTCATCACTTAATATTACTTTACAACACTGTGTGATGTATCAAAACAAAATCTTATCCATTAGGGTTTGAACTTACTGACTGTGTGGTTAGTATTCACTTAGTCAGTCAGTCAGCAACTAGTTTTTAAGCGATTTTGAAATTCACCTATTTTTATTTCCATGTTGCCTCGATGTCGAGACTCAACTTTTTAAAGCGCTTGACTACTTGACTGTATCTGTCTCTGTTATGTTTCATCATGCTACACTCCGTATCAGGTTAATTTGTGTGATTCTCAACTTGATAAACTCTTACATGTTACAAAATAGGGATGATTGTCACTCATAGTTTACTGCATTTGCGCTTACGTATTTGTATTCAGTAGTCACTGACAGGTTATTTATGACACTGATTTGGTTCTTCTTCAAGGTTTAAATAAGCTCAACTCAATCATGGAATTATGTTACACCACCCAATTTATTAAATTTTTGTTTTAATTTCTGCCCAGTTTGTTACGTAATTGCTATCTGAGACCTAAAGTTTTAATGATTCATCTTTGTAAACATCCCTCTGTTGTTATGGTTGTGTGTGACCACATAGCTTGAGAATATCTCCGAAAAGAGTGATTCTTCGCTGAATGTATCTTTGATTTATTCTGATTGAGGACCGTGTGACAACAAAAGAGGCGCCACATAAGATAGTTATGAAAATGACAATATATAAGGGAATAAAGGGTAACATGAATTCGGATTGATAGAATAAAAGCATCCTAAATACATTTTGTGACTTTCGTGCTTAGAAAAGAAAACACCAACATGTCCGTCATTGTTCTCGATTCTGAGCCATATCTAATAATTTCTCGAGTCTTTGAATTGTATCCTCATTCGGACCCCCACCCAATGGAGTCTCATTGCAATAGCGGATGCAAATCCGACTCAACTAACTCACAATCACTCCTGTTTCAAACCAGTCCATGGAGCAGGAAACAGTGAACGGTATAGAAATCAATGGAATGACAACTTTAACATGTGTAGACTACTAGAGTCACTAGTCCAGCATATCATCGCTGGTTGAAATATAGTCTTCACCCTGTTCACATACACGTCGTTAAATCTCCGAATCATTTTTCGATGCCACCAAATGCATGTCGTTCTAGAAAGACAAAGATTGTCAAACATACAAAGTCACCGCACACCCTCAACCTGGAGATGCCGAATTCCATAGGTGTGGAACAAGACCGAACATAGCAAAGCGTTTTAAACTAAACCTTTAACAACTAAACTAATATCACATTGACAAGAGAAGTGCCCGCGGTTGCAATTTGTCGCTCTGACTGTAACTAGACGATTTCGAATGTCAATCGTCACATTTCCACTAGCACTTACACTTACTAGTATATAAAACTACATATGAAGGTTCTTAAATTCTCTTGTAAGTGCCCGGATATTTTGTGATGGATGACAGTGTTTAAGTAATACACCTCTTGTTCCTACCAAACCTGTATTAGTTCACACTCTTGCCTAAATGTATTGCTGTATAGTCCTGTTGGCATTTGGTTGCTTTTATTTTAGGTAAATAACCACTCCTTGTTAATACTGTTCGAATATTTGTGACAGTTGTACATGTAATTCTGTAGTAAAAACTTACATCATCTAATTAGCAGTTGAAAATTAACGTTTTGTTTTAAGATCTGATATATAGTCCTACTCATTTTTATGACTACAGTGTTATTAGCGATTTGCTTGTTTGTGATCAGTTAGCCTGTATTTAATTTATGGCACTATGAGTAGTTATGTAACGATAGAAAATAATAGACTTGGTAAAGGAACGTTGATTTGAAGTTTGGTATCTCAATGTAGCGAAATTATGTACACCTTAGCTTCAACACACTATTTGCACAGATCTTCCATGCTGTGCTACTTCTGGTCTTCCTTCACATTGTGTTTCTTTGTGTTCCTTTCACGTCTCCCACTTATCTGTACAACACTGTGTCATTTGCTTTCTCTAACAGTCAAACTGTTTGATTTTTTAATGCCGATGAACGTCTCTTTATAATACTACTGATAAATCCTATCAGTAGTACACACCACAGTTAGATGTGCCAATAGGAAATCACAAAGATGAAAAAAAATGATTATGATTAGATTTTTATCATCATTACTTATTTATTTAGTTATCAGTTGCTTCTTTATATTACAGAACCTACATCTTTAGGTCATGATGTTGATCAAGAAAAAATTTTTCACTTAGTATATACCTGCCTTTAAGAATCTGTAATGTTGTTGTCTATTTAACTTTTTTTAAAACTAATTATTCTATAATATCTGCTTTCTATATTTGTGTAGTCAAATATATTAAATGCGCAGAATGTGATCGAACTTTTACGTCGAAATCAAGTTTGCAAAGTCATGTACGCGTAGCACATCCCGGTGAGTTCACTTCTTAGTTTTTGTATCGTCTTCTTCCACTGCTTCGTAATTAACAACAATATTTAATTACCACGTATTCATGATGGTGTCGCTGAATACATAGAAAATGTTGATATTCCGGGTTATGTCATTAAGTGTTTTGAGTAATTCTAATAGATTTCTGTTGTATTTAGTGTCAAAATTGTATCCCAATAGGGGAAACAAACAAGTTGGGATGTGTATAATCATAAAAAGTGACCTTTCGGCTTATTCAACTACCCATTACTTATTTCTTAATTTATACTGAATTCAAACCGCGTGCAGGCACTTAGAATTTACTAGAATGCACTATTGCGATAAGTTTCTACAAAGGAGTCGTTCAGACTGGTCAACTGACTGTCAAAACGGTTTATATGATAACCCCTCATTTAGTAATTGCAGCTCCACAGTTTAGTACTTGAAAAAACTGTTGCAGACAACCAAGTTCTAGAATTAGTAGTAAACTATTCTTGAGTAATGCAGTAGTTTTCAGCTTATGTTATAAAGTAATGTCTATTTTCTTACAAAATACCTCTGATCACTCCTTTTTAACAGTTTTACTAATGATTTACCCACTCATCAGATAAATGAGAAGTTATGATGGATATCAAGATAGAGAGCTGCTAAACAGTTTTAAGAATTAGAATATATTAGTCAGTTGTTAATTTAGTTATTGTGAACAATTAGTTGGAGCTGAAAGAATAAATAGATTCATTTCACGAGGCTAAATGGTTTTAAGATCATTTAAAATCACTACTTTGAATTATCAGGAAAAAGAAGAAATACAAGCAATAGCACCCTTAAAAGCGAGATTACAAAAATTCCATCTGCTTTGAATCTTTACACTTGATTTACCTACAATCACTTGACGTATGATTTTTTTTAAATTGTGAATTTAAAAGAATTATTTCTAAGCCTCAAGGTCTTTGTTTTTTTCATCTGAACTATTCAAAGAAAAACACAATCTCAGTTTAAAAAATTGATGTTACAAACAAATGACTATCTTTTTCAGTTTGTAATATGGAAAATGTCATAGTATTTTTAATGAATTCGAACAGAATCATTGATCATCGATGTGTAGCATCCACTTTAAGTGGGTTAAAGCTACCAAGCATGTTACTATAGTCATATATTTGTTTTTCTGTTGTACGTTTATCACAAACTGTCCACTTATGCTTTCTGCTCCTAAGCACTGTGCTAGCTGTTCTACGAAAAAGAATTCAGCTAAACATTAATCAAAGTCTTTCTTTTATTCCTTTACGTTCTATTTCCCGTGTAAAGTGGCATAATAAGGTGAGCAACATGGAGGTTAGGCGTAGAGTTCTAGGTAAACAGGGGAAATCGATCGACGAAGTCGTGAAGCTACAAAGACTGAGATGGTTAGGACATGTGTTACGTATGCCAAGCCATCGCCTCCCTCGACGAGCAATGTTAGCGGATATAGGGTCAGGCTGGAAGAAAGCTAGCGGCGGTCAAACAAAAACTTGGCATCAGTCAATGAAATCCACAACAGTTGGTCTAAGCCACGTAGAAAGGTGTAGACTTCCAGGCTGGGGTCCTCGGGACGGTAAAAATCTATGGTTGGAAACAATTTGTGATATGGCTCAAAACCGTTCTCAGTGGCGCAGATGCATCCACTCCCTGTGACTTATGATCTTCAATGAAACTGTTTTGTATTTCTTTATTACTCCTTTGTCTCACACCTCTGCTCACTGTTTCTATTATGCTTTTCTTGTACTTTCTTCTCTTGCTTCGCGTGCTACACAGAATGTGGCAACTTGAACTTCCGCACATTTGTGCAAAGTTCTATGTCGAAAACAGACAGACAGACGTTCGCAGTGGAACATAGGGCTTTAAGCTAGGGGTATGAAATTTCAGTAGCTGTGGTGTTTTTATTTTTACGGGATAGGGTTGATAGCCTCATGCCCAACCTTCCCTCTTTATCAATCTTAATACTGGCTTAGCGAGCAAGATAAAGGAGTGTGTCCAGTGACCGGGGATCGAACCCTGGACCTTCTGCTTGGCTGACGAGCGTTCTACCACTGTGCCACCGACACGCAATCAAAGTCTTGTAGTATCTTCTTTTTAAGAGTTTATATGTAACAACAGAAGACAAGGGCCGGCAACAGATCCTTTTATTACGGAAATCAGCACGTACTTACACATACTTCATGTACATTATTATAGCTTATTCAAGCAGACAAACACAGTCTTCTGATTGGTTGTTTCTGGTTTCTCGGAAAGTTAAAACATATATCTGAGAATCTTATTTGCCCACGTTCAAGTTTGCTGTGATTGGTTGTTGAATCAGCCTTCTTCATATTTTCTCACGGCCAATATTAGTGACCTAGACATTGACGTAAATTAATGTCTACCAATTGGCTAGCAGCCTGCTATCACATATATTATCACTCTCCAAGTATTACTACTAACCAACTTGTATTCATTTTATTTTTTATTCAGATGATGACGAAGAAGAAGAAGTAGAAGCAGAAGAGGAGGAAATGGACATGCCATTACCCTCTAAGAAATCTCCTGTAAAAACTGTCACTATCCTCCTTTTCCGAACAAATAAAAATCTCCGTCTTCAAAATCCTCCTGTTACATAAATCTAATTTTGTTATAATGATGAATTATTTCGCAGTGCACATATTGTATTGTAGATTCTTGTGGATCAGATATATTGTTTTTATTACTATTAATTTTGATAAATGTATAAATTTGTTTTTACCATTGTGTTGATTATTATTGACGAAAGAATGAAATAAAAGAAATAACTGTACATATTTTTGTAGTACTCATTATTTTTTTTCAATAATCTGGTCAAGCGTTTAATTCCATTATGCGTAAAATTTATTTTGATGAAGTCTCACAGTATTCGACACTAGTAACTATTGTGATGCGTCTAGTCCTCTGGTTGGTGTAGACTGAATTCTATCAGTCAGGTTGTAATGTGACCACCATTCTAGCTAGCTCGCCATCACGATGCGCATTGATTTGATGGTATTAGATGGTTGGAGGCAATCGGCAGTGTTATACAGAAATATTTATTGATGACGCTTCGAGCACAATTTATTACTGCTCATAATCATATCAAGGTACTCACACAACTTTCTAACTTCGTTTATATATTTCCATTATTTTTTTCATCGCTTCACTTGATTGGTAGTAGTATTTTCCATATTTCTGGTATGCGTGATGGGTTATTCCTATTGCATGTGTTGAGTGTAGACTTGATGAACAAGGATTCAGTAATCAACCTCTCTCTCCACTTACCCATATTATTTTTAGAAACTTGACTCTGCCCCACTCATTCCATTGTGTGTTACCGCATGGAGTGCAATGCAGTACTAAGTTTTTTTCTAAATTACTTATCTTCTCGGGGTCAGTCATTCTAGCCTTAGCTAAATTCTTATGTTTTGACAATCTGACTACCCCCGGATCCACTAATTTTACCTATGTAGTTGACCTCACAGTCATTGCAAGGTATGTTGTAAACTACATTATTTTGTCTAATTGGGTCAACAGGGTCCTTAAGCCTGCAGAGCTTGTCTCCGATTGTGAAGGTTTGAATGTCACCCTATTTCCTGCTTTGTTAGGAATCTTACCTAGGGTCCCAGATGTCCGTTCCTTATTTGGAAAAATTGTAGATGTCTTGTATTCTCTCTTTTTTATGTTATGGCAAATACTACTACCAATCAAGTCAAGCGATGAAAAATAATCAAATTATATAAACGAAGTAAGAAAGTTGTGTGAGTAGTGCCTTAATGTGATTATAAGCAGTAATTAAATTGTGGTCGAAACGTCATCAGTAAATATTACTGCATAATACTGTGAGAATTCATCAATGGAATTATACTCTACCGCAGTCCACAAGCTCTATTCTTATGCTGAAGGATTTGCTGTCAACAGTCGTGTTTGAGGATTTACTGTGAATTGTGCTGAACGCATCGTCATATGATATTGAAACTGGACACAGCGAATTAATTGCATTTCTAACGACCAGTGGCCTGATTAAAACCTTGAGTACCAAAAACGTCCACCTCTATACTGCAGATTAATTTCTCGCGTTGGCTTTGTTTTAAGTGATTAAAATATGACCTCTGAGTATATCATTTACTCTTACCTGTATTCAAGAATGTTTAGAACCTTCTGATTAGCAGATTCCTAGTAAACCTGAAAGGCTTAATTGTAGGTGGTGACGTCGTGTCCTAACACGGGAAATAACTGTTCTTGAGTTGTCTTTTTGTTCAAGCTTTACCTTTGAACTTTTTATAAGTGGCTTTCAACTGAATTTCTTGGGGGGGGGGGGGAGAACTTCAGCTCGGAGATCATTGTGTCACAAGATGTACTGTACGAGTAAAAATCACCATGCGCTAAACTCCTCTGAAAATTATGTGGTTTTTACTACCACATGCATTGTTTCTTTTATCAAGTATAGCACTAAGCGAACGGGAACTTCATGTTGTGGTGCCATTCTGAATTTCGAAATATAGTTGACAAATCTAGGAGGTAGTAATCGTGGAAAGTGGAGTAACGCTTTGTTGTAATTAATTGTATTATTAGTATTTCGAGATGACCGAATTACAAGAATCCAAACGAAACACAGAGAGGGCGGAATTCAGGAATTTGTATTTAGCGGAATTATAATGCAATTCATATAAGAAATATTAACAAACAACAGTAAGTATTTAATCAATACAGAGATAGAAATAGTCAGTCCGCCACACGTCGAATGTCTCCTTGCGTATTTATACTGATATCGCGGTTTGCTTGCCAGTCTCTGCGATCTTCTAACTGATTCTGTGATATTATTTCCATCAGTATCATCTAGGCTTATTTCTGAATTATCTACAAAGTCAGGATTAGTAGCGGTGTCATTATAATCATAATCGGAACGACCTACCTCATTTATTCTCACTTGATCCAAGTGTCTGTTATGAACTGAGTGATCTTTGATGTCTAATATCTTCACCATTCGATTTCCCATTCTTTGTAGTATGATACCAAGAGAAGGTCTATAATCATTCCCTCTGTAATAATGTACATCAGAAGTCGTGGACATCAGATGCTTTCTGAGAATTCGAGATTTGAATAGTTTTGCAGGACTTTCATGAGTACTTGTATGCTCCGCATTGCGATATTGAAGTAAGAAGTTATCCACACATCTCTCTAGCTCATCAAAATTTTGAGGACTCATTGATGCTATAGCACTCTTTAATGTTCGTACAAAATTTTCTGCCAACCCGTTTGACTGAGGATGACGTGATGTGTGCAAATGACGACAACCTATATGTTTGAGCCAATCATTGAAGTTCTTCTCCGTAAAATGAGTACCATTGTCAGTAACTAAGACATCTGGAATTCCTTCTCGACTAAAAATCTTTCTCAACGCTCTGTGAGTGAATTTGGCATTAGGACTATCTGTAATGATGACTTCTGGCCATCTAGAATAAGAATCCACAATAACTAAAGCATAATATGAATTTAAGAATGGACCACAGTAATCTGCATGAATACGCTGCCAAACCTCACAAGATGCAGGCCACGGTGTCCACGATGACTTCCCATAGGACATTTTATGTAAACAGCTAGAACAGCTCTTTGATCTTTTGTTAATGTCAGCATCAATTTCCGGCCACCAGCATGTTAGGCGTGCTAATGATTTCATCTTATCAGCTCCTAGATGAGCAGAATGTAGATCATCCAAAATCGCAGATCTTAATGTTGGAGGAATAATAATTCTGTCATTCAGACATAGAAATCCTTCAGGATGGACTGAAATCTCATCTCTTCGCTTATAAAAGTCTGGAAATCTTCGCTTACACTGAACATTCCAACCTCTTTTTGTTGCATTTATAACGCATCCGAGTATCATTTATAAGTCGAACTCGATCCACCGGTAACGGCTGGACTAATAAGCAATCAGTATCATTAGCAGCATTTTCAAATAATGAATAACGAGATAAGAAGTCTGCATGAGGTATATCCTTTGCCGATCTATGTTCAATAGTGTAATCATATGCACTTAGTTCTAAACTCCATCTTTGAACCATAGCAGCAGATGATTTATTCAAAGATTTTTCTGGATTGTAAATGAATTTCAAAGCTTGATGATCAGTAACTATGTGAAACTTAGTACCAAAGAGATACTTGTGCAAGCGTCTTATTGCCCATACAACTGCTAGAGCTTCTTTCTGGGTTTGTGAGTACCCTTGTTCACTCTTACTTAGACGTCTTGAAATACAAATAACAGGTTGTCCATTTTGCTCAAGTACTGCAGCTATACCCATAGGAGAAGCATCTGTAGTGAGAACAGACTTATCTTTCGACAAAAAAGGTCTTAGAAAGCTTGTTTATTAAGAAACTCCAAAGTTTTTCGCAAGATATTCTCATGTTGTTGTTCCCACTTAAACTGTTTACTGGAGACAATCTCAAAAAGTGGAGATAACCGTTGAGTGAAGTTGGGAATGAATCTGGAGTAAAACTGAAGAGTACCTATCCATGATCTCAACGATGACATTATTAGGTGACGGTGCTTGAATTAGAGGTGCCAAACGACTAGCATCAGGTCTGAAACCTTCGGAGTCTACTGTGTATCCCAAGCATGATACAGACGACAAAGTGAAATGACATTTAGATGGATTAACAAGAACATTATTCTCACATAAACGCCTGAACAGTTTTAAAAGACGTTCATTATGCAATTCGATATTAGGACCATGAACTATAATGTCGTCTTGGTATGACTCAACACCATCTAATCCATCTATCATCTGATTTATTACATTTTGAAATATTGCGGGTGAAACCTTTAAACCAAAAGGCAAGAACTTATACTTGAACAATCCAAATGGAGTATTAATGGTTGTTAATGCACTAGACGCCTCATCAAGAGGAATTTGCAAATAGGCATCTTTTAGATCTATTTTGGAAAAGTATCTTGAGCCATGTAGCTTGTAGAGAATGTCTTCAGTTTCTAGAGTAGTGCAACTTTGCTGTAGTAGACGACTATTGAGTGTAAGGCGGTAGTCACCACAAATTCTAGGTGTTTTTCCATCAGCCTTTAGTGGCGTAACAATTTGAAGACTCAACTGGCATAAGTATGCCTTGCTCAACCAACTTGTCTAACTCTTTCTTAACTGCATCTCGCAATCCATATGGAATTAATCGGCGTTTCAGGAAGATAGGATCACCCTCTATTTCAAGATGGATGGGCTGAATCTTCATACCACCTACACTCTTTGAACATTGGAGAAGTAATTCTCTGAACAAAGATTCATCAAACAACTCAGTACAAAGTGAGATTTCGACATTTAACAATCTAAGGGCTTTTAATCCCAATAAAGATGGACCATATTCACTAACAAGAAAGGGAATATTTACAAAATTACCACTGTCTGATTTCAAAGAAATGTTAGTAGCACCGATAAGAGGTAATTTATGACCAGTTATGCCTGTAATTGAACTAGTAGTAGGGTCTATCTGGACATTCTTACAAATCGATTGTAAATCTTTCTTAGAAATTATAGATTCAGTACTCCCAGTATCAATTATAAAACAATGGGACTTGCCTGAACTTGTAGTGAAGGTTCTCATTAGATGAGATTGAGTATTGGGAAAAGTTGAAAAAGACATCGACTGCATTTTACCAGATAAATTGGAAGAATTATCAGGATTCTGAGTAACATAAGTATTCGAACTTCTGCAAACAGTCTTGATGTGTCCAACTTTACCACATTTGTGACACTTAGCACCCCGAAAACGGCAAGTGCTTCGTAGATGTAACTTTCCACAGGAAAAACACGGTTTAATGTTTTTGATCTCTGGCTGCATTCTATTACCTGTGGACGACAGTTTGGATTGCTTTCCATGACCACTTGTATTTTCGACTTTGGACAACATGACATCAGATACTGACGTAGTGGGAGCAGAGTAATCACTGTTGACATCTTCATATGTAATACATAAATCTCTAGCAGTTTGGAATGTACAAGGAGGAATCTGAATTAACTCTTTCTCTAACTTAGGAATATTGATTCCAGCAATTAGACGATCACGTAGTTGAGTATGCACCTGACCTACAAAGTTACACTTTGAAGCTTGTATTTTAAGTTGAAGAATGAAGTCTCCAATCTTCTGGTTCGGAGCACGAACCAGTTTGTTGAACTGAGCCCTCTCTATTTTCTCAAAAGTAGTTACATGAAAGTGATTTATCAGGAGTTCACGAACCCAGCTAGCATTTTCTTCGGGCGCATTACAGACATTTTGGGGCAAAAACTTCGGGTCAATCTACTTACGTGGGACACTGTCCCGAAGTCTGCCCAAAAAAGTCTGCAATGCGCCCTAACTTAATATGAGAAACTGCAACCTGGGATAACGTGTCTACGGTTCCGCATTTAACTGTTAGTCGACAATTAAATCACAGTGAAACCTTTATCAACATCTGCCTTCGCTTTATATCGAAGATCAAATAGCCAGCCAGGAGAAATTAGCAGCCAGAAACTCTGGGAACAGACTAACAGGCGAGAACTTATTGGTCAACAAATATGTAGCAGAAAATGGGTCGGGCACACGCTGAGGAAACTGTCGGATGACACTGGGTGCCAGATAATGCCTCGAGTGAGACGTCCGAAGGTGACATGGAGGAGATTGAGAGATTAAGGGCAATTATGGGCCG